AACTTCACAGAAATTACACCGCTGCCAAATCTTCCCAATTGTTTTCAAGTTATTCCTCATCCAAATCCTTGTTAAAACGTTGAACACGAATGTCTCCGCTAAATCATAGGGAAAAAGTGGAAGAGACACTTTGTTGCAAAAAGAACAAAAAAAAAAGAAAAAGATTGGTTATTACAATGTTACGTTGCAGGCGGATTTCTTGGGACACTCGCTCTTCACCTTCGTCCATCCAAAGGATCACGAAGAATTAACGAGGAACCTCACTCCGGACGACGTGCAGGGGTTGCTGCCTTCGTCCACGCCGCAGATCACCGACGGTGTGAACGATAATTCGAGCTCGTCGGAAGACTCGTCGTCGCCGCCGAGGAACGACAGGAAACAGTTCAGGGAGCAGAGACGGAGCTTCGAGCTTCGAATGTTGCACCGGACTGCGTCGAGGCGCGAGCACACGCAGTACGAATGGTTCGAGATGTCGGGGATGCTCAGGCTCGCGGACGCTTGCAAAAATTCCGAGTCGAACGCCAGTCGGAGTTCGAAACATCGAGGTAAAGACACGCGCCTGGGTATGCACATCGAGGCGTTCACGAAATTCAGATTTCTTTCGCCTCCTCGTAAAAATGGTAAACAACGAATTCTCAGTCGAGTGGCTGTCAAGTACGTTTTTTCTACTTGGGGAATGGAAATAATATATTTCTTTGCTTTTCCAACAAAGAAACGGGATTACCGAAACACGTACACGTGTACGAAAAATTCGAACGAATGGCAACTTTCTTCTTCCCTTTGAAAGAGCTTGATGTAGTACAGTGTTTTCTGCAACAGCTTCTCACTTATGGATGTGAGTCGGGTTCTTTTGGAAGGAACATCTCGGTAATTTGCCAGTGTATTGTCGTACAATTGATTCTCGTGGAAGTCGAACGAGAAGCGAATTTTTATGTTTTTATGAAACAACACGGGATCTAAATATAATATAAATTTGTTGTAAATGCAAAAAATACTCAATATTTTATATATTTTTTTTATTATTATATGCACATCCCTTAAATCGTTCAAAAAACACATAGACGTCTATTTATAAATTTAAGACGTTTAAGATGCGAGATGTAATTATAGTAGGACCGCCGTATTCACGGTTCCAATTTACGCAGTTGACTGCGATCCACAAAAAAAACTTACGTATTTTTACAGGTTACTGCAAATAATCACAGATTTCAGGGCAAATTCTCAGAAATAACATTTATAATTGTTCAAAATTGATATTTGTAATTTTCAAAAATGATATTTGTGATTGTTTATAGTTGTTGTTAATAATATTTGTAATTTATAATATTTATAATATCGCTTTCGATTAATCTAAGAATATTATAAACATACTCACGTAAGAGCAACGTTCATAATAAACTAATGATATCACAATAAAAAATTATTATTATTATTATAAAAAAATGTATGTATATAAATAAGGTTCGCTATCATCCACGAATATGGAGGTCCTATTGCACTTACAATTAGTATAATTTAGTTCTCTTTGTAATGTAAGCGTTTGTTAATACATTTTGGATATTTCATCATAGATCTATTTCATGAAATCTTATATTTTTGGCATTAGATATCTCATGACTTGTACTACTACATACTTGTACAGGAGTACTTTTATGATAACTGACTATTAACTCCTTATATATGAAACAAAATGTTTTGTAATTTATTTTTTGATGTCTGCACTGCTGATGTGTTTGTTTGAATCAAGTCATTAATACCAAATAGTAGAAAAACAGTTTATCTATATGTATATTAAATTGAATTGAATCAACATGGCATTACCGTGCTACTGCAATTATATTGCAAGTATCTCCCTAATGAAGTTAAACATAATAGGAATGGTTGTTCCAAAAGAACACGACTTGCAGCTCTCAAGCTTCAATTTTTGACAATTCGGTGAATGTTATGAAATGTCTGGGATCTACGACGCGACAGTATTATTCGCAACGAACATTATGTAACATAATGATACAATTTTTATCGAATCGTTAAGATAGATTCGTTGAGTTATCCTCGCTCTCGCACAAAAGGACACGTTCCGTGGATGTCGATTCTTAAGTGAATATCTTCTAACTCGGATTCTGTGAACCGATGTTCCTCTTATATCACGACACGTCGGGACCGGTAACGTTGGTTTTGAAACGGGTATCGCAAATATTTACCCTAGCCACGCATTTAAATTTAGACGGTCGCCATCATCGGCGAAAGGTGTAGGCGTAGTCGTTCAACTGTGTGGATTCCTCGGTTTTTAATCTCGGATTAAACGGATCAGACGATGCAAAATGCGCGTGAATGCATCTACACTATGTTGTCATAATGTTAAAAATACTTCGAGTTTCTTTCAATTTTATACAGCAGCTGCACTCTACGTGGCTAGACGAAATAATGACGAGGGAGGTGTTAAACAAGTTCGTGGATTTCCAATTGCACAGCTACAAACTCGGCAATGTAAATTGATTGAAACGAAACCCGTCGTTAATGAAATTCATTACGTATTAATACGTTACGTAATGTTATCGGCGCAGTAGGGACATTTTTATTTCGTTTGTTTTACATTGCAACACCTCTCACTGTGAAAGTGAGAAAACTTACAAAGTCTTATATTTCTGAACGATACCGTACGTAACAGAATTTCGAATGCTGAATAATACTAATTACTCTGGTCCTCTTTTACAGAAGTCTCTTCAACAAGCAATGACATCGTTTTCGTGGGTGTGGCGCGACTGCTGATGAGACGACCGATCACCAAGATATCAATCATAGACGCGAATAAGGACGAATATATTACTCGACACCTGGTGGACGGCCGGATCATCTACTGCGACCACAGGGTGTCGGTGGTAGCTGGTTACTTGTCAGAAGAGGTGTCGGGGAAGAGCGCTTTCCGTTTCATGCACAGGGCCGATCGTGTGTGGGCTATGATCGCGCTTCGTGAAAGTGAGTGGCAGCAGGTTGAAGCCATTTCTATAATATTTCCTTCCTCTTCTCGTTAAGTTTCGTTAGTTCGCATTTCGTCGTAATTAACTTGCTTGATATGTACGACCTTGAGATTGTTTGAACAATCAATGTAATACAATTTACAGTGTACAATCGCGCGGAGACTTGTGGATCATCTTGCTACAGGCTGACTTCGAAAACCGGCGAGCCCATTTATTTACGGACACATGGGTATCTAGAGGTTGACAAGGACTCACAAATTGTAGTATCTCTCGTCTGCATAAATACATTAGTATCGTAAGTATATGCGATATATCTGTCGTTACGTAATTTTTTTTCCCCACCCCTTTTCGTAAACTTGTCGTAAATAACTTCACGTACTGTCGCGGCAGGGAAGAGGAGGGCATCAAGTTAATGAAACAAATGAAGAAAAGATACTCCGCTACGATCTCTGAAACGATGAAAGCGATGATACAGAATGGAGACGATACATCGATGGACTTGGTAATTTGCTTTATCTATTAATTCATATGTAATGAATAATATACAGTTTCAAGTTGTGAATGAATTTAATATGAATTTAATAGAATTATTAAAACATTATTATATATGTGTCTTGCTTGCAGGGCTCAGATTCGGAACATTCGAAAAATGATATCGATGATCCTTCGCAGCTAGAGGACGCAATTACGTATCTAGTTAGCGATCTATCGTCGCCTCTTCCAGAGGAATGCCTCGCGACATCACCTGTACCAAATGAACAATACGTAAAGGCTGCGATGATATCGCAACATTTACCGCCTGCTGTTACTCAAGCCCGGAAACTGGGCATTGAAACGATAGACCATTATTTAATGGTACAGGGGAAGGGGAATCAGAATCAAAAGCAAGAGTCGAAAACAAGTAACAATAAGCACGAGACCGAAGAGAGCCAGGAAAAGTCGAGATCATCCGGTAAAACGATAACGCTGCATGAAGTAACGAAACAAACGAATAACGTTTATAGCAATTTGCAAGATGAACAAAGTTTACCGCAAACGAACAGTATAATAACGATGAAAGAGCCGGCCGTAGAACCGTGCATAAGTACCCAACGAGATCTCCGACCGTCTCATCTTCAGGTTTCTCAAAATGTGAATATTTTGAGTCCTACTGCGGCGGTCAATGACATCATAAATGTCTCAAATTCGCACAGTCTATGCAACATTAAAGTGGAACGTAGCATGGATGCTTACACGCATCAGCAAAAACCTATGATGGATCCTCTTGAAAAGGGGGTCAATAACAACGTTACTCCTAACTCAACAAATTTCCCATTAAAGAGGATATACAGTGACGAAGATATTAAGACGAGTTGTAGTAAGAAAAGACACAGTAATGTTGCTTACGCATCGTCTGACGCGAACGATGATCAACAGAGTGTTTCATACATCGATTGTAAACCTTTTATTGGTGAAGTATTTTCGGAACCTTCGTCGGACTTCAGTTTGTACAATAATATGAATCCTCAGTCGATGAAACTTGCGGAGTCTCCGAATTCAAGTTTAAACGACGTTGTTGCTGATTACCAACAAATGGATACTAGCATCCCGTTTATACCTCAAAATCCAGATGACAAATTTATCGATTTTCCAGATTTAAAGGACGATCCGTTGCTGAGCCCAAGCCTGGACGCAAATCCAGGTATCGAACTCAGTAAAGTAACCCTGCACACATCTACGAAAAAAGTAAACAAGCAAATTTTATATATTGCAAAATAGTGGGTGGCAAACTTCTTTCCATTTATCAATTTCAATATTACATCACCCTTGAAGTGACGTGTGATAAAAACTTTCCGATAAAATTCTATAATTTTAGTATGCACACTTTGATGTTTCAATCTTCCTTTGTATTTTGTATTCTTTTTGTATTTATCTCCTTTGTGGTTCAATCTCAATGATTTCCGTAAACTTTTCAAATTGTATCTTAATAAGTAACAATATAAATTTCTTTGCAGATATTATAATGAGAATAATTGATGACCTAAGACATGTACCGATTCTCGAAAGTAAGTACACAATTACTTGTGTCATACGATATTGATACACATAAAGATCGATTGAAACTTTAGTTTTTTAATATTTCAGATACTTTCAATGAAACAAAAATACAACATCTACCTGATAACAATGTAAGTGTAAATTATTAAGAATATTTAATATAATGCACTCGAAGATGTATTCATTATGATTAATTTTATGATAGACAATCAATGATGAAATAAGAAGAAAGCATCTTCAACTTATGAATAGTATAACATTACAAGAATCACAGCTCGATGTCTTAGCAAGAGATTTGAAAAATCCAGCTTTTCAAGCAAAAAGAGGAAGCTTAACACCATTGCAGGTATGGATAAAGAATTTTTAACTATGATCTTTTTAATGATTTTTATTTAAAAAATTATTGTTTGCCTTGAATTTTAGGCAGAGCATAATATGCAGAAACAAATTCTCGAAACACTCCAACAAGACCACATGCAGATAAACATAAAACACAATATTGGTGTATAAAAACGTTTTCAAAAATATCTGTAACATAGAGTTTCAAAAATATCTCTAATCATAACGAGATATTTCTTTAAGGAAGAAAGAATTATTTCTTCGAGTTGATAATCTTAAAAAAGTAGATATCCTTGAAAGAAGTATACAACTGGTAAAGATGTACACATCGAATATTCCAATGAAGTTTAATATAACTTATTCATGTACACAATGATAAAATGGAAGAACATACATTAGTGCAACAACATAACGAGGCCGATCTGTATTTTACAATTCAACAATGGAAAAATAATAATATTTATTATCACAGACATTTAGTGAAAATGTAGTGTTAATAAGGGGAACTTCAATATTCTGTGTTCAAATTGAACTAAGAAGAAAGAGCATCGTAAGTACGGAACAGACAAACTAATCAAGTTGTATACCTTACGTCGTGTACATGCAGACATTTTAAAACATATTATGGACATTGCTCGTCGCTCTGATGTTTAGCGTATATTTCTGTAATTGCTTATACATACGCAAAATGTATTGTAATTGTGGGCACTTTTTACACATTTGAAGGTCCAATGTTGCGCAGTTTTCAAATTTTATCATAGCAAACTTGTATATAACGTAGAGCCAATTCTAAATGGCCATGCTATCTTTTTAGCCTTCAGGACCGTTTGTGCTCAGCTATTGTTCTCAATTGAAGAACGAAAATTATTTTCATGTCGGATAGACCAGGATATGTATATGTATGCATATATCGGATGGATATAGTCTATTAAGATCCTACTAATTAAATAATTCGACTAAATTCGACTAAATTCGTATTAATGAAAGCAAATATATTCGTACTAATAAAAGCAAGTTGGTAGTACAAAATTTTTGTTTTGGACAGAAGAAATATGCTTCTAAAAAAGAAACCTGTTATAGAAAAAGATATTACGTACGTGATTGTACGTAATTTTTATTATTGTTACCTGAGATGATGGTAACAATGATGAATGGTAACGATTGATTGTAAATGTTTCCAGTCTGTTATCGATTTATTTTTTCTTTAAAATTTTAAAAATTGTGTAGATTGCTTATTATTTACATACTGCTCTATGTATTTACATACATACTTGTGACATACATATGCACTTTTAAGCATTTTACACATTAACTCGTTATTTTTACAAATTTTCTACTTTATTGAAAAAAGTAGCAAATAAACAAAATTATCATCTTTCTCCAATGAGATGTTGAAAGAGTTTCGAATCCATTTTATACGTAAATGAATGTTATACTTTGTGTTTGCAATCGTTTTGTTATAGTTTTTGAACTTTACTGGCCTCGTTATCCACCAAATTATGTTGCGTTTTATATTATTTTATTAATTATAATTAAGCTTTAGTACCTATCCATAAATAGCATAAAACTTTCGTGATTGACCTATGTGCGATATCATGATATTTTTAAGCTGCAAATGACGAAAAACCATAACAACAAGCATAATCAAGCAAATGAATCTGCGATCCAGAAAGGACGTTAAAATATATAGAATGGAATTGTGTACAGGAAAAATTACAGAGGCGCATATGTGTGGACATATATGAGTAATAGATCTATGTGTTAGTTCTATCTAAATTAGTTCCATTTTCCTATGTACAAGTATAAATAAGGCTGATAAACTGTAAATAAGGATTCCGAATGTGTCATTGATCGGTATTACCGATTGAAGAATTCACCGTTTTTCCTTTTGTTTTTTTTTTTTTTTTTTTTTTTTGTGAATTGTTCATTGTTCATTCATGTTGTATGTCTGCAATTGTTGCAACTCGTGTGTATTAATTAAATACAACTAAAGAGTTTTTGACGCTCCTGCCTACTGATACGAGTTGCAATATCAATAAGATTTAGAATTGTAGTTTATAAATGACGTTCTAATGTCCAAGCAGCCCTTTCACCCTTTTTTGATTGTAAATTCGTATTTTAAAATATGAGGACAAAGCATCGTATCCATGATATTCTTCAAACCAACAATGTTCATGTAGACCCAAATCAAAGAATATAATTTATATTATTTTATGAGCTTGATGACTTAGTGGAAGCTAATAAGTTGTGTATGTATTTATTCAAAATCGAGACTTATCTTTGAACGATGCTTTGTACAAGTGAGAATTATGAAATTACAAGAAAAGGGAGATCATCTGCGTATAGTTTTTATATGTATATAAATCATGTTCACTGTAAAAAAAACAAAAAAAAAAAATGGTCGTTAACTCGTTTTTATGTCATTGACATTGATGTCAAGCGTTTTAAGGTAGATTGTCACTCTATTTTTGTTTCCTTCAATTAGGATTATGACATATAAATGTACAATATTAAGAAAAGCTTAAGATATAAACTATGCTCATTTTTATGGTTAAGAGGATTCGACTATCCTTGCCTCATGATTGCTCGACGTTGATAAGGATCCAAACTTTTTTACATACTATCATACTGTTAGTAAAAGATATAAATGATC